TCCAACTCCACTCCAAATAGACATCAACTCCACTCCAACTCCACCCATTTTTTTCAAAATTCTACTCCAACTCCGCTCCAACTCCACTCCAAACAGACATAAACTCCACTCCAACTCCACCGAGTTTTTCAAAATTTTGATCTAACTCCACTCCAACTCCAAGGAGTTAAAGTGTCAACTCCGGAGTTAACTCCAACTCCGAGTTGGAGTTGCCCATCTCTGAACAACAGACAATAACTACGTTAATAAAACTCTTATCTTTATATCGTTACTTGCTTTTTCTTTACTATTCAATGAATTGTTTTGATATAAAATAAAAAAACATTATCTATATCTCGTGCTCTTCGTGTTCCAAATTCTTGTGATTTAAACTTTTGCATAGAATTTTTCAGGACAAAAATGTATGTTTATGAATTCTATTTGTTTAATATGAATTCTGTGTTGTTTATCAAAAACAATAGATGTTTTTGATGAAAATCTAGAAATGTATTAGATGTAATTAATAAATGGCTTTTAAGTTTATTTTTGTATAGAATTTGATAGATAAACATGGCAAACATATTATTAAATTCAATTCAAAACGGTAGTTACAAGCCCAAGGTCCATTATAGCCTTTAAACAAATCGAAAAGTAATTTCTGCATATATTTTGAGCAATCATACTCATTTATTCAATAGAATGTTCAATCGAATAATCTCATTCAACGTATGAAAATTGTGATAGTTTTGACAATGTTAATCCTTTTCAAATAGAAGAAATAATCGAACAATAATGTCAAATCGATTACATAATAGAAATATGATATGGACATGCCATGTATTTTCCATTGAAAACTATTATCAATAAATTATTCAATATTCAATGCAATCATTTTATGAGAATTGTGCACGTAGAAAAATCGTTCTCGATAATATTCAATGATTAATCTGTTTTTAAATATATTTCTAAAATCATCACTTAATAGTCTTGCGATATTACATGACAACAGCGTAGTAGTAAAGACCAATAGAAGTTCATGTACCATAGAAATACTACTGTCAATTTCAAAATAAAAGGCGACGAAGACGCATCGAAATCTATCTGGAAATAATCATCTAACTACTATCCTAAGAGTTATAGTCAGAAATGAAATCTTTCTGTAGCTCTTTTTTGATATGGAATAAATTCATATCCTGTCGATAAGAGACATACTCCTTGTATAACACTCTTAGAGAAATATTTCGATGCGCCTTCATTGCTTCTTTTCAGCGATGAAAATCGCAGCTCTCTATCCTGTTTCTATCGAAATATATTCAAAAAAATACCCATTCGCCTTCTACTTTGAAATGGGTAGATTGATATAACTTAAATAGATCTTAATGAATTATTTCTAGTCTTATTTTTTGTTTTCTGTATAAAAAAGAAAAGATAAAGAAAACCTAAGTAATTCGATTCTATTTTTAATAATATACAAAAAATACAAAAATTGAGAGAAAAAAGAAGAAAAAAGGCAAAGATTAGTTGGAATGATGAAACTCACTGTTTACTTTTATTTATTAATTTCATTGAAGTATAGCAATTTTTTGTAATGCATTACGTTCAATAACATTTAAATGTTGTTGAAATATTGCAAACCATGCATGTGTTGCAAATAAACGTAAACGTTCTTTTAAATAATCAAGTAAATCAACTTGCATTATTGGATCATTAAATGCATCGGGATCTTTTTCTTGGAAGAATTCAAAATCAAATACATCATCAAGTAAATTATCATAACGTTCTAAATATTTTGTTGTCTCTTCATCAGTTGATTTTAATGAACTTGATTCTTTTAATTCATTATCTCCAGGTTTATCATCATTAATATCTTCATTATCATCATTACCATCCTCTTCTTCTTCGTCATCATCATCATCATTAAAATTCATATCTTCTTCAAGTTCTTTACGTGTATTGATTTGATTTTGTAATTCAAGTACAAGAATTTTAAATAATTTTACAACTAACGGTACACGTGTCCATTGTTCTGGTTGTTTAGACGTTTTTGAACGTGTACGATGAGATATCGATTGACCTGCTTGATGATATATTATTTGATCACCTGGAACAATTAATGTTTGAAAACGAACATCATTATTTGTCATAGCATATTCCAATAAACCAGTTAATGCAATAATACTTAACAAAAAATGAACAGTTTTTTTTTGATTTTTAAATACGAAAAAATATTTACCTGACTTTAATGTCGTATGGACCAGAGAAAAGATGTTGTTTAATAACCCATTCATACATAACAAAATCAAATGCACTACTTCCTTGTGGTCCTGGAGTTGATGTAAGAAAATTAACAACATCATTAAGATTATTTTGAATTAAATGGGCAAATACAACGATTAAACTTTGTTGTACACTCAATACTTGTGAACCTAAAAACATTTTGTTTTTCGTCAAATCTTTAATTGTTAAAAAATTGAAAATCTTACTTTGAAGTTTAGCTAATACAGCTTTAAGTATTTGTCCTAATGTATCACCAAGTAAACTTGGTTGATTTGTTTTATTAATTTCTCTAATAAAAGCTCGAATTAATTTTCCAATAAAAGTACAACAATTTTCCGGTGTTTTTGGATCAAGAAATTTTGCAAGTATTTGTAAAATATATTCAATACTTGATGTATTTGATTTTGGATCAGTCCATGAGAATAAATTTACTGATACACATGATAAAAATGCACATAAACATTCACCACCATTGATTAATATTTGTTGATCATCACTTGTTAAAAGTAAATGAATAACAACAGGAAATGTTTGATTTAATAAATTGGAATTAATTGGAGGATTTAATGAACGAAGAACAGTTGTTAAAAGATCAAGGACGGAAAATGCAAGACTTGGCGCTATACGTGGTAATGTTGATGAAACAGAATGATTACTCTCAACTATTGATTGTACTAATGGAATAAGTCTTTCTTGAATTGAATTGGATACTTTATTATTATGAACAAGACCTTTGATAATTCTAAAATAAGAATTTAATTTAGCTTTGTGTATAGGCAAAATCATTTGTTGGCAACGAGACTTCATAAAATTGAAACATGCATATCTCAGGAATACAGAATCTTTCTACAGCTAATTTTTATATGTTATACGTATATCAAGTTATACTCTGTATTGTAAAAGAATCACCTCTGAAGATCTTTTTCGAGAGAAGTTATCACCTTATGCAGTTTAGCTTTAAAAAAGTCCTAATTCAGAACAACATTTTTCTGTGGACAATTCAAAGAACTTAATTCAATTTATTTTTCGTTAGCGACGTGATGGGACCCCTGAGGGTCCTATTTTTATGAGAAAAATTTTATCATAGACATGGCTGAGTCCGAAAGTCTACTCTCAACATTTTAGGTTTTCTCCTCATATAGTTGCTCGATATAGTTTATAAGAGCAAAAACAAAAAGTAAGCTTTAATTAGCATGTTTTATTGAACTGTATAATTACGTTAAATATTTTTCTGCCTATTAACTGATGCATGATATACTTCAGTGTTTCTATCGCTTAAAAACAGAACTGAATATATAAATACAGATGAAATTATACCCATAGCCAAAACATAATAGTTCACTTATTGTCATTTTAATTGATCAGCTAGATCATTTCTAGTGAGAAAGAGTAGTTCATATTTCTTCTGGCTAATGTTTCGTAAAAAATAGAATTTAAAATCAATATTTACGCTGTTGTTTCTCCATTAATTAATGGATCTTGTATATAGTTAACAAAAAGTTCAATAGCCAACGGTGATAAACGATTTTCAATTGTTGATACAAAATTTTCATCAACACTAATTAATATAGCTAATGATTCTAATGGCCATATAAATGCTGATTGTGGTATACGACTCATTGTAGTAAGTATACCTTCGAATATTCGTGGAAGATATTGAATAATATCATTTGTTTGATCAACACCCACTTCTTCACAATAACTAAAATTATTGATTATTTAATAAGAATTTCTGCTTTTTTTTTTAAATTCAGTCAATACTTACTAATAAAATGCTCGTAATGATGATAAATTAATAATTGGATGTTGTGCATGTTCTAATAATTGACAAATTCCATCCAAAAAACTTTTATGAAAAAAAAACAGAACATTAAAAACAAACTACATCAATAAAATTATATTAAATTTACATTCGATTAACTTCTGCACTTAAAGAACGTGAGAAACGTCCAGCAAATAATGCTGCTTGACATATAAGATATGGATAATCTAAAACAAAATACAAAATAGATAATGAAAATAAGTTTTCATAGTATATACCAAATTGAGATAGATCAGCTAATGGTACTTGTCGAACAAATGAATCAAGATCGATTTTAACATATCCAGTAACTAACATATCATTTAATAATTGTTTACATCGACCCATTGCTAACAAACAAGCTTCGTGTAATTTCCACCTGTATTTACAAGCAAGATTACGAATGTATTCATATATTGTTTTTAAAAAATTTACCATCGAGATGAATTATGAGATTTTAAAGCTTCGGCATGAGATAAATGACGACTAAAAATAAGATTAAAGAAATTTATTTTGATGGCCTATCTAGTTATAGTATTTCGCTCGTCTGTTATTTAATAAAGACGACTGTAAGGGTTAAATTTAAAAGCGAGAGATATGTAGGTGTGTAGAGAAAGAGCTCGTCTATCTGGTAGTATACGTACTATAAAATTCTATTGTGCGCCACAGAAGAAAAAAAGCATGGATGGGTTTGAGTTCTTTCTATATACATAGCCACACCCACATCCATACCCTCGTATATATAGAAGGAAGTCAAACCGACATATACTTGTTTTGTTTGTCCTTCTGTGGTGCATAACAGAATTTTATACTACGTATACACAAGATAGACGAGTTCTTTTTCTACACGTCTATATATCTCTCGCTCATGAGTCAAAAATTACTGTGAAATTTATAGTCGTCTTTAGATGTAAACACTTTCAATCATTAATATTGATATTTATTATATTACATAACGAAAAGAAACTAGCCATTTTGACATTATATCTTTCATTGAATAACTTTAACCATACGTGTAATATGATATATTGGAAGATCTATCAACTATAATATTATTTTTATCTTATGTGACTGGCGAACAAGAAAGGTTATTCGCCACTTTCAGTGTCATCTATTTTTAGTCCAGCTATTCTATGTACAGTTTGAATATATATAGATCTAATTACATTTTTAAAGAATTAGAGTAATATTATTGAGAACAAAAGTCGAAACAAATGCTCTTATTTCTGCTACATAGTAAAATAAACATTAAATATTAGTCAGTTTATCTACATCGTCTACTTAGTAAAGTTCAAACAAAAAGCTTATAGCTTTTAACTTACTGTACAGCTTTCCATAGTCCAATTCCTGCTTCTTTTTTAAATTCATTTGTAATCGACTAGAGAAAAAGATGAATATTTAATTTAAACATAAAATAAATAAATACCAAAAGTAATTCTAAAGCAGATAATCTGACCGAATGTGAAAACGAATCATCACTTTCATCTTCAACATAACGTGAAACATTTTTTGACCAAGAATCATACTAAAATTTTAAAAGAAAAACAAAATAAAGAAAATTAACAAAAATAAAAACTATACTTCTTCTTCCGTTATTTGCATACATAAAATTAAATAATAACATAATTCTTCCATAGA